TTTTTTTTTTTTTTTTTATATTTTAAATTTTCTGTCCACCCCAAAATTATATTTTTTTTACTTTTTTTTGTATATTCAATTTTTTGTTTTTTCTCTTTTCTGCAACCCCCCAATTTTTTTTTTAATTTTATTTTCAGTTCAGTTCAGTTCTTTTTTATTTTTTATTTTTTTTTTATTTTATAGGTTCAAAATTTTACGGGTTCCAAAATTATGAGTTCGCAGGTTTATATGTTTGAAAGTTTGCGGGTTTAGAAATTATAGAGTTTATGGGTTCGAAAGTTTAACGGTTCGAAAGTTTATGAAATTTGTGGGTTCGGAAGGTTGTTGATTCGAAAGTTTATGGCTTCATATTTATTTTATCTAAATTATTTATGAATACTCTTGAGAATTTTTTTTTCTTTAATTTGCGTACAAACACCGGAAAATGTGTAAGATTAATACTTTTTTTCTAAGAAAATATTTTCTGTTATACCAAACACACCCTTAGAGAATTACTTTTACTATAACGAAGGAAAAGAATTTTTTTGATTCTATTTGTGGCCGCTTCTCTCTTTCTCGCTCGTCACTACTCACACTACCCAGCACCCGCTCCTCACCCCCACCTTCTGCTCTTCCCCGGTGCTGCTGTGGCCGCCGTGAGGTTGGTTTCTTTTTTTGTTTTCTTGTGTGATTTTCTTTTCGATAAGTGATGTTACAGTTATGAATTTTTGGTTCTCTCAACTCTTAGTGATAATATAAATTCATTAATCCAAGAATATACTGCTTCTCAAACTGATTTCTTCATAAGCTTAACAGAATTTGAGCAGTTAAATCATTGGTCCCCATTTTTCTTGAAATTAAACAGAGGGTAGTAAACCATTGAGTGTACCCAAGACCCACTCTTTTCATTAACTCAAGAAATAAGGAAATATATATAAAAAATTTAATAATTATATTAGCAAATAGAGTAGTGTTCTGATGAAATTTTTGACTATAAGTTTGATAACAATATCTAACAGTTAGACATAGCAAGTGGTATCAATTTAAAATTAAGATAGTTTTAAGGAAAAATGAATTAAGGGAGTCTTTTTCCCCCTTTTGGTGGAAGGAGTGCATTTTCTATTAACCAAACACTAGAGAAATGACCTTCTCACAGAAAACATCTTCTTGGAAATTGACTTTTGTTATACCAACATACCTATGTCCAAATATCAAAATGAGCTAGTGTCTATCCAAGAACACCGTATGTCCTTTTGAGGCTGCTTTTTCAACGAGAAAAGGAGCAAATTCCATTCTGTCGTCTTCATCAAGACTTGTAATAAACTATTTTAGAGTATTGGCATTGGTTTCTTTGATAGTGGTCCAAGCTTTTCTAGAAAAAAATAATGCTTTTATTTTACCAACAACAACAACAAACAACTATATCTCAGTCCCAAACAAAGTTAAGGATCGGTGATATGAATCCTCACTTCAGTAAGAGTATTTAAATATATACATAAATAATACTCCCTATGTTTCAATTTGTTTGAACCTTTTTAGAGTATAAGGGTCCAATTGTCTAATTTGAAATAAAATTTACATATTTAGAAACTACATAATAAGCACTATAAGTCACAATATTTGAAAATCAAATATTTAAAAGCTATTTGCAAAAATATAGTCAAGAAAACGTTGTTTGACTCCCCAAATAGTAATAGGTTCATTTTTGTTAAATGGAGGGAGTAGTAATAATAATAATAATAAATAAATAAATAAAAAAGTAATAACACTAAAAGTTCTCGAACAAATTTAAAGCCTATATTTAACTAGTAAGTATCACCTATATGATTCTTTTTGAAATTGATGGTTAAGGATGATGAAAGAAGTGGCTGAAGGAGAGAAATTGAAGAAGGAGGTGGAGTGGCAGTGAGGTCGTCGCTTGGCACTAACAAAAAAGGTTATTCAATCCACTAGTGCAATTAAAGGTGCGCAACCTCTTCTGAAGCGGAACAAGAAAGAGCTCATAACCACTGCTTGTGAACAACTCTCCTCAACTTAAGGCGCACACGAGTAGTTGAACAAATGAGAGGTTGTCGATGAAGGGGTCAAAGGTTGTGCTTGCGATAATACGAAGGTTGCGCAAGACCCCTTCAACCTCGCCCCCGTGTTAGC